TCATTGACTCGATCTCGCTGTCTCGCTCAGGTTGACTCGATCTCGTTGACTCGATCTCGTTGTCTCGATCTCGATGTCTCGCTCTCGATGTCTCGTTCTCGCTTTCTTGCTCTTGCTGTGTCGATGTTATGCTCTCGATCTCATTCGCTGTCGTTCTTCTCCATGTATATTTATAATATCGCAAAGATAAATAACAACCTATCTTTCTCGCTATCTCACTTTCTAAATTTCTCGACTTCTCTCTTTCTCGCTATCTCGCTTTCTAAATTTCTCCATTTCTCTCTTTCTCGCTATCTCGCTTTCTAAATTTCTCCATTACTCTCTTTCTCGCTATCTCACGTTCTAGACGTATGTATCCATACCCCCTTATCTTATAATTAAGAGGTTAGTAAGAGGGAGGGAAAGTGGTTAATTAATGCGCCCTTTTAAATCCTCAGTCTCAGTTGTCTTTCCACCTTTCCAATGCAGTAATTAATTACTCTTCCTCTTCCTTCCTTCCTTCCTACCCGTTATCCCAATTTTCGATTTAATTATTTTTTCAATTTTCGATGAAACCAACCAAGAATTTCTCTATATATAGATACCACAAAGTACACAACAACGACATCCAGATTAGAAGTATCTATCTATCTAACATTTATTAGAAGCAAACATGTCAACATCTTACGAGTCGGACGGTTCCTCTTCCGACGGAGCAACCAGTYCTATCTCAAACCATCYCTCCTCCTTCGCGGAGAACRAAGTGCCAATTAACGGTCCTCTTCAACAAGCACGGGAAGAAAACGACCAGCTCAGGAGAGAGCTACGTCGAACGCAACACGAGCTCAACAACACGAGGTATAAGTTAGCCCGGGTTGAAGAAACGCTGGACTTGCTGGAGGGACTGCTGAAGGAGGAGAAGGAGGAACGACTTCGTTGGAGGACATGGTGGATCAGTTACTGGCTCATCTACGCCGTAATAATAATAATAATTTTTAAAATCTCATTTTAGTAGTAGCTTATGGTTGTTGTTTTGTTTAAGCTACTAAAAAAAACTTTTTGTAATGTGAGGGATGGATGGAGCCCCTGTTTCCTACTTTAATAAATCAATTATTATTATTTTTGTTGTTACTGCTTACTTACTTTCTCAATATCTTACAGTCTTCTTTCTCTTACACGCTCATTCTCGTTCGTGATAATTTTCGATGATTTTCGTTGTACTTCTAAAATTTATTTATCCTTATTGTCATCACGGTCGCTTACTTATTACTATTTCTTCCACATTATTATATATCCACTTATATGCTGTTAATCGTTCACAATAACGTCTCATTTTCGTTCAAGCTTATTCACGATCTCTTTCGTTATCTGTTTTGCACTCTCGCTGCTATTTTCCACTACACCCGTTTATTCTCAATAGACTGAAATCGAATAAGTATAAAAAAAATAAATAGATGCAGTCTTTAATTTAAAGAACATCAACCAACAATTAAAAGAATTAAATTTCACGACTTTTCATCTCTCTCGCTCTCATTCATGCACGCTCTCGATCAAGCCCATGCACGCTCTAGATGTACGCTCTCGATCAAGCTCATGCACGCTCTCGATCTCGATCACGATCAACCTCATTCACGCTCTCGCTGTACGCTCTCGATCAAGCTCATGCACGCTCTCGATCTTGATCAGATCTCGCTCTCGCTCATGAACGCTTTTGATCTCCCTCTCGCTAATGAACGATCTCGATCTATAACATACTCCAAGTAGCTATCCATATCCATTTAACGCGCTAACGATCTCCTTCTTCTTGCCTTCACGCTCTGTCCGTCAGCTTCTCTCCCTCCACGTCTAAAAATCAACAACCCAGTAAACAAACAAATAAATAACTTATATGCGAACAAGCCCAACGAAACATTTCAAAACAAAGACCGATGGATAATGAAGTTTGAACATCGACAGTCAGTGGCCTGTAGATGACAGAAGCAAAACAACCCTAATAGTGAGAGAGAAATGGAAGACCGATAGATGCTGGAGTTCAAGCATGGAGAGTTGCCTGTAGATGAGCGAAGCAAAACAAGGAAAAAAAAATGAGAGAGAAATGAAGTGTTTTCAAGTAAGGGAGGAGGGAAAATAAAAATTTGGTATATTAGGCCCCAAGTGGGAAAACTAAAATTTGGTACCCAAAGTAAGGAGGGGCATTAGAGGTCATTTGGCAAAGTAGGTGATGTCAGCAAATGATTAGAAAACTTGTGTTTTGAGAAGGGCGATTAAAAAACTTAAAAGGCCCCTGGAGGCTTATTTTGTCAATTTTTCCTAGATAGTTCATGATTTTACAAATAATTTCAAAATGATCATTTTCAATATAAATAGTTATAAGTATGGTCTTTTCCACGTCCTTGTAGCTTCTAAAATGGTGAAAATCATTATTAGTCCATTCAAAATACATTTCATAAAATTTCATAATTCTTCGTTAGGTAACGAAAAGTGACTTCAAAAATTATAAAAAACACAAATACTTAAAATAAAAAAATATTTTTTTTAAAGAAAAATCATCCCAAACTCAATATAAATTAAATTATATTTTTAGTTGATTCCGTTGTCAAGATCACAGTCATTACCATATAGATAGAAAATATACCATGTATTAATTAATATGCTAATAATTTTGAAATTTGATCAAACCAAAATTAATAAATACCCGTTTGTTTCGTTTTCTTGTTTTTAGTTTTTGATTTTTAATTTTTTAAATACATGATTATTTGATAACCGATTCAATTTTATATTTTTTTGTTTTTTAAAGACCATTTTGAAATTTGGTATAAATAAAAAAAAACAGTTTTCATAAACATATTTATGTTTTCCAAATTTTTTTTTCTTTTAATACTCGACTTTTTTTCTTTTTCATATTTATCTCTAAAAATTTTATTTCTCACTCTAAAATATTTTTCTTTCTAAATTTCTCTCTACAAAATTTATTTTTCTCTCTCTAAATTTTTTATATTTTGAATATTTATTATTATTTGTCTCTCTCCAAAATTTTCATCCCTATATATTTTTATTTTTTGTTCTAACGGATCAGTTTCATTTCTCTCTAAAAAAAATTGTAATATTTGTCTAAACTTTTTTCTCTCTAAATTTTTGTGTTTTATAACTTTTCTTTCTCTTTCTAATCTATTTTTCTTCTAAAAATTATATCTAATTTTTTCGTTCAATTTTCTTTCATTGTTACTTTTATTTATCTGTTTATTTATTTTCTCTAAAAATTATATTTTGAATCTTGTTTTTATCTCTAATTTTTTTCCACTATAATTTTTTTCTCTTTCTTTCTATTTTTTTCTATATCTTTTCCTCCCAACTTTAATTTTTTTCTCTAAAGTTTTTTCTTTAACATTTCTTTCACTAATTTTTTTTAAATCCTCTTATTCATCTCTCTAAAACTTATCTTCCAAAGTTTATTTACATTATTTTCATATCTCAAACTTTGGGGTGACAAATTTCTGCTGGGTTGAGTCTTGCTCCAAGAATAGGAAATGCATGTCTCAACCCCGTTCCTGATTCCAAATTAATATATATTTATTACACTTTTTATTTTTTAAATTCTAATAATAATTAAAATTAATTATAAAACCGGTAATATTTCTTGTCGGTGACTAAAAATTTTCACGAGCACGAGAATGAGAGAGAGCATCCTTACTCCCACCTACACCATTATCATCTCTACCTTACCTAGAATTTTATGTATTTTCAATTTTCTAACTTTTTAAAAACAAAAAAACAAAAAACAAAAAATGGTTGAATATCTATGATTTTTGTTTTTCAAAGACAGGAACCCAAAAACCAAAACTAAAAACTAAAAACTAAAAACCAAAAACAAAAAACAGAAATCGTTATCCGCTAAACTAAAACTTTTAAAATTAGGAGTAATTTGAAACTAAAATTAGAAAGAGTAATTTGAAACTAACTTTTAAAACCACCTCCTCGAAAAAAAAAACTTTTAAGATGATAGAATTAAAATCAAGAATAAGCATAAATTTTTTAAAAATTATATGCTTTAATAAGTCCAGATAGGTTGAAACTAAAAAAAACTTTTCAAAATTCATAATTCTAATTTCTAAGAATGGTAAAATATGGATGAAAAAGAAAGAGGGCAAAAGCGTAAATAGAGGAAGAAGAGAGGGCAAAAGAGTAAAAAAGGAAAGAAAGAGAGGTGGAGAGAGAGAGAAAGCAAAATTAAATAAATAAAGAATAAATAATAAAAAAAGGGCTTTTGGGGAGAGAGAGAGAGAGAGAGGGGATTGGGAAATGGGTTAGCGGAGTTTAGGGGAGAGGGTGTTGAGAGTAAAGGGAGACTGCGGATTGGATGTAGCCCTTTCGGGGCGCCCCCTTCTCCCCTGTTCCAATTTCCCTTAATCCCCCTTTTTAATATTCATTCATTCATCTAATCATCCATACAAATTTCTTTTTTTTTTCTTTAGTCAAAACCAAGTTGTATAATCCATACTCTCGCTATGTTCCTCCGTTTCCGTTTCCAATACCAATTCCAATTCTCTCTCTCTCTCTCTCAACTCAGTCTATACCTGTTTGACACGGGCACACACAGACAACCCCATTACTCTGTCTCTATTAAAATGAAATTTTTATAAATTCAACAATACCCTCTTTCTCTGTCTCTCTCCTCTTACACAGCAACAAAGAAATTTCCTTGTCGGCTTGGACCAAACACCATCTTATCGTTTCTTCTTCTTCCTCCTTCCCTATCCCTCTTTCATCTTCTTCCTCAAACCCTACTTTCTCATTCGTCTCTTTGCTGCTCTTCAATTCACCAACTCACCTGCCTGCTTCTTGCTCCTCAGGTTTGTGACTTTCTGCTTTCTAGGTTTTCTTTTTTTGGCTGTTTTGTTTTGTTCTGCATCTTAATTTCCTCTTATGCCCAACTGGGTGTGTGTTGGATCGAGATTTTAGTGCTGTTTTTGCTTCAATTTTGGGGTTTGTGGCCTTCTGGAATTCCATTTTTGGGTTTTTCTGGGGGTGTTTCAATGTGTTACAGTAAAGTGGGGGGTTGTGATTCTTGTTGCTTTCCTCGGATCCACAAGATGGGGGATCGGACTCCTTGTGGATGTGTTGTTTCACACTTGGTTTGTTCAAATTGGGTGATTTTTTGTTTTCTTTTACTGAATAACAAGAGATCCACTTTATTTTGGATGAATAGATGCGTTTGTCTGTTGGGTTCCAGTTTTATTATTGACATCGTGAACTTATCATGATATTCTGATCGGATGTGCTGCTAAAGCCCCTACGGCGGCTGCCTTTTGGGGCTTCATTTAAGATACACAGCAAGGTCTGGCTGCCTCGCTGACAGCGTGGCTAAGCTAAGTATCTGAAGGATTTATTGATCTATTCAGCCGCCCCTATCTCATAGATACCGTTTGTTGTTGTTCTGGATGGTAGTAAATATCTTGAAGGAGGTATCCTGATTCCTGTTTATAAACGTGTTTAATTTTATCACCATGGTTTCTGCGTGGATGGTAAGACTTTTAATTAAGCACTTGTGATTGTCTTGTTTAACGCATCCACCATCCATTTTGCAGGTTGGCGATTGGGGTTGATTAATTGCATATTGTATATATCTCCCTGGTTTTACCATGTCCTTTTCAGCAGCTTCAAATCTTCCCTCAGGTGGACCAAATTCAGGTTTGTGGTTATTGTTCATGAAGTTGTGTCTACTTTTACTGTTTTAGTCATTGTTGGTTCAATTAGTGATTGGTCGTTGATAATCTAAAAGAATGAACCTCGAGTTTTGTATGGTCTACGTTTAAAATTAAGAATAATGTTTCATGGGTTTACCTGGTACTCTGGAAAAAGGAATATCCTTGCCTACTTTGTTACATTGAATGTGGAATCCATGAGTAAGATATAGTGGTTGGTTTTGTTTAAATGGAAATAAAATTAAAAAACAGTTCCATTTTGTTTGTTGGTGGAACAAGGTAAAATCCTCTACTCTTATTGACTGTGGGTTTGACCTTCATCAGAGATTTTCCTTTAAGAAAGATGGCTGTCCTTTCGAGGAAAGTTGTGGCTAGTAAGTACGGAGTTTTTAAAGGACTGGTGGTCTTATCCAATTGGATGCGAAGCTCTCTAAAGGCCCCTGGAAAGATATTTTATTAATGCTTAAGGAGCTTCTGGCCTCTGAGTAAAAAATAGCGAGCAATAGAAAAGGCACCAGATTTTGGGAGGGCTCGGGGAAAATGAAAGGGAACTCTCTTAACCCTTTACCCAAGACTTTATTCTATTTATTAATGAAACCTTTTTTATTAGCCAAGTTCAGAAAGCTTCAAAGTTGTCTTGGGATATCAACTTTAGTTGATGACCTCGAAACTCAATATTGGATATCCCTAATGGGTGCCCTTCCTGACTTCCTTGTTATACATATTTACCAATGGACGATAAGTTGAACTGGGCGCTTTGTGACTTATTGATGCTTCAGCTGTAAATATGGTACTGGTGGTCTTATGGCATTTTTTCCTATGAGAGTTAAGCTTTATGGTACACCACAAAAATAGGACTCACGTAATGGGTGGGGTGTCGGATGCTAACGCTATTTTGTTTGCATCTATAGGAACTTGTTGAAAGCTAGTTCGTATAGGAGTATATCTACTTTCCTTGGTTTCATTCAGGGGATGGTGGTTGAATCTGATTCTAGGAGGAAGGGTTGTTGGATTGGTCTTAATACCTTACAGGCACATTCCTTGCTCTATTTCCCTTGCGAAAGACTCCAATGATTTCTTTTGTGGAAGGTGGATCTACTTATTTTGATTTATGCTTTTGTAGAGCTCTTTTTGGAAAGAGATTGTTCATCGAGTTTAACTTTTATCTATTATCAATGGGGTTAATCTTTGCTCAAGGGCTAGGGTTTGTCATGTTTGGTCTTTAGAATTCTCTTGCATCTTCACTGGTAGATCTTTGTTTCACTTTCATGATTGCATCTGTCTTTGCAATCCCTTACTTCTCCTCTCTATGTCATGGAGGCTGAAAATCCTAATAAAGGTTAGGTTTTTTGCATGGTTGGTTTGGGAAGGTGGGTCCACACTATTGTCATCATTGGGAGATCCTCTTCCATGTTTCTTGGCTCTTGATGTGTGTATGCTTTGCCAGCACACATCACAAGACTTAAATTACCTTCTTCGATGGGCGTGCGCTTGCCCTGTGGTGCACATAATTTCATATTGTATCTGATAGGAACTACAGAAATATATTGAAATGATAACGATATTTCAATTGAAATGAATTTTGTTTCTCATTAATAAAAGGTATTTCTAACAATATTTTGATGATATTATATTAGTATATGCAATCATTATTTTAATTTCAAGAAGCATTTTAAATGTGCATATACTCAAAAAAAAAAAAGTGCATGTATGTTATTGTTAGTCCAGAATATGTGAGTACATTAAAATATATTTAAATTTAGTCCAGTATAAGATAACCCAACATTAAACTGTGTATGCTTTGTGTGTTACAACTGTTTGGCATTTCTAAAATGTCTCATTCCATTACCTTGTCATGTTGACGTTTGTGAAAATGGTTTGAACAGTTTACACTATTTCTTTGATAGTATTTGCATTTGTTCAGCCTTCTGTATGCATAAATGGACATGTACTTTGTTTTTTCATTTCCAGGGTCCTCTTCCGATGCTTTGTATAGGGAATTATGGCATGCCTGTGCAGGACCACTTGTTACCCTTCCTCGCCAAGATGAGCGAGTATACTACTTTCCACAGGGTCACATGGAACAGGTATTTGACTTTGTGAATGTACTCGAACTGTTTGCTTTCTAGACTATACAGGGGAAAAATATAGACATTTCTGAATTGAGTGTCAATCTTCAAGTTAACATGTGGAATTTCGAGACTGCACTACCACAAGCCTCACTTGATTTAGTGTGCAATCTTTATGTTATGCTTGGATGCATGCGTACTCCCCCTCCCATCCACAGACTTTACGTTTTGCTTGGATGACCTTTCATATTAGCTTATAAGAAAAAGATGTGTGAAAGTCAGAATTCTATGAAAATATTGACTGAATGGTCGATATTGTCAAAATCTTATTGATTCTTTTAGCTTCAAGTTATCGATATTAATTTTATAATTTTTGTCTTAATTTCAAAATAAGTTATCTTCACTATGCTATGAATACCTAATATGTTGGACAATAGTTAAGTAGAGTCTCGATAATTGCTCTTTCAGTGGCAGAGTTATATTTGTCTTCTTTATATTAACATTGAGTGCTGAACTTTGTAATTGTATTCTCTTCACAATTTACTGGAATTTGAGTCCTTTTTTTGTTAACTCCTAAAGTGAGTTCTCTGTACTTTTTTTTTTTTTAAGAGTTCTCTATACTTCTTGTAACATGCAATTGTACTTTTCACTATATCAATGAGAAGAGTTTCTTGTTCTAAAAATATTTATGCCGAAAATGTTAGAAATTCACAGAGTGTTCTTAATCTTATATGTTTAGCTGGAAGCATCAATGCATCAAGGATCAGAGCAACAGATGCCTTCGTTCAACCTACCACCAAAAATACTATGCAAAGTTGTCAATGTTGTTCTTCGGGTGAGTTTATCATATTAATTTTAATTACCCGTGGTGGTATATTTTTGCTTCCTTGTCCATATCTTTGTCAAACTGATTGACATTTCTGTGCACATTATATCATATCTAATGTCTACTACTTTGGATGTTAGGCGGAACCCGACACAGATGAAGTTTATGCTCAGATAACTCTATTACCCGAAAGCAATGTGAGTTCTGTGCTCTTTCACTCAGTTAACTCTTGGACTATAGTTGGCAGTCATCTCTCCGCTCGATGGTGGGGGATTTCGGCCAAGTATTTCTAATGCTTGCATTATATTTCCGAACTAATTTTAGTGCTCAATCCCAAATTTTGTTGATATCTCTAACTTATTTTTTCTATTTGTTTTTTCCCCATGAGCCAGCAAAGTGAAGTAACAAGCCCAGATCCTGTCCTTCCTGAGCCTACAAGATGTAATGTCCACTCATTTTGCAAGACGCTCACTGCTTCTGACACTAGCACTCATGGTGGCTTCTCTGTTCTTCGGAGGCATGCAGATGACTGCCTGCCACCTCTGGTTAGAGCACATAAATGATATTGCAGCCATCCATTTCTGATGTTTCTTCCATGTGATTGAGTCCTTTTGTTTTTCAGGATATGTCTCAGCAGCCACCATGGCAAGAATTGGTTGCAACTGATTTGCATAGGAATCAGTGGCATTTTAGGCACATTTTCCGAGGTATAATTTCTAAAGTTAAATAAGTAACAGCCATGCAAAGAGCTATAGATGTTTGCTGTGGCTCCTTGCAAATAAAGATTTCTTACACATGCATATATACATAAATACTATGTGTACATTCAATACATGCCCGGGCAAGAAGAGCTTCCCCATCTCTTCCATTTTTCTGTTCTTTTACACTTGGGGTCTATCAACTCTACATGGGTTTATGCCCTCAAGAAGTGGCCTTTGGTAATTACTTGGAATTTGGGAACACCTCCTAGGTCCTGAGTTTGGACTGCAGTCACTAGAGAATCAGAGATAACCGGAATTAATTTCGCTACTCCTTGGTTTCTCCCAAAGCTTACCTTGGGATAGGTTGGTCTCTACAGAGATTAGTCTGCGTGGGGTCCTAATACCTTGGTTACCAGAAAAAAAATGGAAAATAAAAAGAAAAAACAAGTAAAAAAAAAAAACTATATGGGTTTATAATGTTTCTTGTAATTTTTTGTTTTGTATAATTTACAGTTTATCAATTTTGCATCATTTCATTTTATATGACATCAACATGAATGGCTTTTTAGTTTCTTGTTTGCTTTCATTCCACTTGATCGTGATATTAATACATGAATTGCAGGGCAACCAAGGCGTCATTTGCTAACAACTGGCTGGAGCGTCTTTGTTAGTTCGAAAAAGCTAGTAGCTGGAGATGCTTTTATCTTTTTAAGGTAATTTTGTGGTATGCCATTTAAGAAGAATATCTATTTTCTTTGTGGAAAAAGATGAATCTTGACCAAACATGTACTGTACATGATTTATTTGATTATATGTATATGACTTCACAGAGGTGAAAATGGAGAGCTTCGTGTTGGGGTGAGAAGGCTCATGAGGCAGCTAAACAATATGCCATCTTCTGTTATATCAAGTCACAGCATGCATCTCGGGGTTCTAGCTACTGCTTCTCATGCTATTTCAACTGGAACACTCTTTTCTGTTTTTTACAAGCCAAGGTTTGTCATCTCTACGTTGCTTTCTCTTACTCTGTGATACTGAGTTCTTTTTTCCTCCAAGTAAAATAATTTAATTGTTATGGGTTATCGGTTTTTGTAACTCGATACTGCAAGTCAGTTTCTTTGTGATTTATCACCTGCAACTAGAAAATTCCTGAATATCCTTCCTTATGGCAGAACAAGCAGGTCTACCTTTCTTGTAAGTCTAAACAAGTACCTTGAAGCTCAAAGCCATAAACTCTCGGTTGGGATGAGGTTCAAGATGAGGTTTGAGGGCGAGGAAGTACCTGAAAGGAGGTAACTGTGTCCAGCTCTCCTGGCTCTCTTTTCCTTTCACAGGTTAGTTGATATATTAATGTTTGTTATATTGTTTAACAGTTTCAGCGGAACAATTGTTGGTCTTGGAGATAATGCATCACCTGGATGGACTAATTCTGATTGGCGATCTTTAAAGGTTAGCGAATTCTCTTATAATGCTTCTCATGTTTCTCAAAGTCAAGTGTTGAAACATTATGTAATGTGTATTTTTGCTTTGCTGCGCTTCCTCTTTCTATGAGTTCAATTTACCTTATATTAATAGTAACACAGAACAGTTGTTGCAAAGCTCACTGTCCGAGATGCATGTTTGAACATAGACAAGTATTAAGGGAATGGCTGATGTGGGAAGAAAAAACGAAAGATTTGTGTTTAAGCTTGATAAAGTGTATATTTTGGTGGAGTGGGCGCTTTTGGAAGCTGTCATTGATAAGTAAATAAAAAAGAAGACTTTGGATTGTGTTGGAGGAGATATTTCTTGATACCCATTATTATTGTGTTAATTAGCAAACTTATTGGTAACATTTTAGCTTCTCGTTCTCGTGGCCTTAGAATAGAGACCTGTCTTCTCTTGCCTTTTTTTTTTTTTGTTATTGTGGTTGATTGTCCAAGTTCTAAGTTGATTGTTTGATGAAAAGAAAGGAACAGGGATGCATTGAAGTTTTCCAGAATTGGGTCAGATGTTTTTTTTTAAATAGGGAAACATGCGAGGAGGGAAATAATCCCTAGATCCTAGAAGTAGAGTTACAAAAAGATCTTTAATTTGGCTAAAAGTAAAGAAAGCCTATAATCAGATTTCCCTGCCTTTTCCACATTTTCCAATTGCTGTTTGTGGATGTTGAGATATTTTTTAGACCATCAACTCCCTTGAAAGTGGAGAATCTTTTCCATGTTCATGAATTTGAAAGTGCCTTGGTCCTCGGGGTATAGAGAGGTCATGTGAACAGTAAACAAGGATAAAGATAGATAGCTATTAATTGCAATCAGAATATGGTGGAATGTGTAGCAGGTATTAACCACTGAAGTTTGGGATTTTTGTCTATGAAGTATCTGGGGTTTCCTTGAGGAGGCAACCAAGAGATCAATTAGGTTAATATTTGCTGGCATGGTTTTGTTTGATCTAATTTCTATCAATAAGAAACCAGCTTTCTTTCAAGGTTGTAGTGGCTATGGCTACTGGGGGTTCTCTTTCTTTCTTTTCTCAAGAGAGTATTGTAATCATGTAACTTCATCCGTGTTTCTTTCAATGAAAAGTGTTTCTATTTCCAAAAGAAAAAGAAGAGGACACCACCTCTCATTTGGGAGAATGTAACTACAAAGCAGGCTACCAAAAAAAGGCGCCTAACTGAAACATACGACAAAAAGGAATTGCAAAAAGCTCTAATTGTGAAATGATATAAAACATGCCACATCAACATTGAGAAACAGGTGAAATTGTACATATTGCATAATGTGCGTAAAGCATTGTGGAGGACATCAATAAGATAGTGGTCAATTTTTTCTTAACCACACAAAAAATGCCGAGTTAAGAGTGTATTTGGGAGTGATGGTAGAATTAGTGATTTTGAAAAAAAGAGATTTTAAGTAGAATTGATTTTTCAAAATCACTATCAAAGTGATACCTTAAAAATCAAATTTAAAGTGATTTTAAGCTTTTCTAAAATCAATTTTCTAATTTGCCAAACATGATCAATGAAAAGAGATGGAAAAAGTGGTTTTGACTATGTCAAAATCACTCCCAAACACATCTTAAGTCTTTTCAGAATTGAAAACAATGGTAAAAATAAATAACCATGTGATCCAATCGTATTATAATACGAGGGAAGAGATATGAAACAATTATTACCTTCCCATACATCCTCCCAATATTTGATTTTAACTCTTTGTACAAAATGGATTTGAAAGAAACGTAGAAGAAAGAATTTGAATTCTTGAGAGTTGGATTATCAGAACGACGACTCTGGCAAGGATATGTGAAACCCACCCATCAATTTTCACTTTTACCAGAAATGATTTGTGCTAAACTATTTTTAACTTCAGTTTTGTTTCCAGGAAAATAATTTGAGGTTTAGAAGTTGTTATCCTTGGTACACTGAAATTTTTACCCATTGTTTCTGAAATTCAGTGGGATGATATAGAAGTCGTTTTTATTGCGGTCTTGTTATGTATGTGTCTATCACGTGCTCAAAACGATGCAGTAGGCTTAAGTATTGAATTTCAGCCATTGTGTACTTTTATATTCTCTTTGCTTGGATCAATGCAGCATTGTATAATTCAAGAACTCACTTTTGAGTGTTTGTTGATATAAAGGTGCAATGGGACGAGCCTTCATCGATATTGCGTCCGGATAAGGTATCTGCATGGGAATTGGAGCCACTTGTTGCATCTAATTCTCTAAGCTCTCAGCCTACACAGAGGAACAAGCGTCCACGACCAACTGTTTTGCCTTCACCTTCGCCGGATGCTGCTGTACTTGGTAATATACAACTTTCTTCTGAATAATAAATCATTGTTGATTCAGATGGAACCTTGTTGACATTATCTCTAATCTCTATGTACTAGGTGGGTGGAAACCTACAGTCGAATCTTCTGCTTTTTCATATACTGAGCCACATCGGGGAAGGGACCTATATTCATCACCGAAATTCAGTAGTGCTGCTGCTTCAAATTCACTTGGTTTTAATGGGAATGGTTCTCTTGGTGCTGTGTCCAGCAACTGTACCTACTGGTCCAATACCAATAGGGTGGAAAATGTTATGGACACCTCGGCAAAAAGGGAACCCATCGAAAAGAAACAGAACAGTAGGAATGGATGCAGGCTCTTTGGGATCCAGCTTCTAGGAAATTCCAATTTAGAGGAAGCTTCTCCAGTTTCGACACCCAAAATGGCAGGTGAGGATAGGCCGGTTCCACCTGTAGACGCTGAATTTGACCAGCATTCTGAACCATCGAACATTCATCGATCAGATATTCCTTCAGTAAGCTGTGATGCTGATAAATCATGTCTGGTTTCCCCTCTAGAGTCTCAAAACAGACAAATTCGCAGCTGCACAAAGGTAGTTTCAATCCATCTACTTGTCCTCACTTTGATATGGTGCAATTCTGGTTAAATATTGGTTTTCAATTTCTAGATGCGGTCTTTTGTTTTTGGCTATTTTACCCAATAAATTGAAATTATCAAGTCTATAAACTTCTAGTTCCAGAATTCAATTCTATAAACTTACTAGATCTCTGTTTTGTATGTTTTTATTTCAGGTTCACATGCAAGGAATTGCTGTCGGGAGGGCTGTAGATTTAACACGCTTCAATCAATATGATGATCTACTTACGAAACTGGAGGAGATGTTTGACATAGAGGGTGAGCTTTGTGGCTCTGTAAAGAAATGGCAAGTTGTTTACACCGATGATGAGGACGATATGATGATGGTTGGAGATGATCCTTGGAAGTAAGTACATTTAAATACCCCACCCCCAAACACGATGATCCCAAAATCTCTTTGGCCTGTTTTCTGCTCAAGTTCATGGACCAGGAGGGTTAAATTTTGATCATTATTTTTGTGAAGCATGTAATAGAAGGATTTCTTCTGCAGTTGCTTAAATCTAATATTCTCTTTTCTGATAGGAACGTTGACTAGTCAGTTTTAAGTGTGGTTATGCTCAAATAAATGGAGGATTGAGCTGATTCTTGTGTTTTGTTTTACTAAATGATTGCAGCGAGTTCTGCAGTATGGTAAGGAAGATATTCATCTACACAACAGAAGAAGTGAAGAGACTATCACCCAAGATAAAACTCCCGCTCGGTGGAGAGACTAAGCTTAACAAGCCAGATTCCGATACGGTTGCCAACCACACGGAGGACCAATCGTCCATCGTAGGATCAGATTGCTGATCGAGACATTTCCTATGTCGTATAGTCATTGGTGTAGGAGAAATAAAATGTGGAAGGTTTGTGGGGGGAAACGAGAAATCGGAAGAAAAATGGTTTATATAGCGGTAAGATTTTGTCGATAGGTAATGTTTGCATGGGTTGGCTGCTTTCTTTTGACAGCCAATGGAGGGGAATCTGGAACAGGGTGTTGTTATATTTTCAGTTGGAAGTATTGAAGATTCCGATTTACGAGGACGAAAAGCTAGCTGCTGCTGCTGCATATATGGGGGTGGGGGAGGGGTTGGTGAAGGCTTTCTGAGCTCATCAACGGAGTGAGGAATGAATATGTTAATTGTGGGTTGTTTGGACTTAGAAATGAAATGTGGGTTGGCAGAAAATACTGTCCTGTGTTTTAAGATGTTGAAATGAATATTCCTATGTAATAAGGTTTGGTTCGATTAAGTTTGGTTCGGTTATTTTTCGGGGCTTTTCCCTGTCTCCTGACTATAAAACCATGCGAGTCAGCTTGGATTTTTGTACATAAGAAATATGATGCTGTCTTTTTTCACCATCTTGATTGCAGGCGTCTCTTTTTGTATGGGGGAGGAGGAACCTCAAATGTAAATGTAATATTTTATTATTATGTATTGACTTGAATTTCCACAAATAGGTTACTTTGGTCTTTTGAGTATTTAGAAGACGCATTCAACTCAGTTTTAAGAAATAGGTACAGAAAAGCTAAATGTGTTGTAAGTATGATAATAGTGTAGATGTTTATAACCTATGGTTATATATCTCATAAATTTATCCTATTAATTCCGTTACTCTTATTTGTTACCAATTTTATTTATGGTGGATCTTGTAATCTATACTTTTGTAACCCTTATTTTTTTTAAACACATCTTATATGGGTTGAAGGAAAGATATTCTATTTCCAAAAAAATGAGAAGTTGTATTACTCGCTATTCTCTTCTCTGCATATATATATATATATATATATTTTTTGTGTTATTTTTGTTTTAAGGTTGTGCTTATCTATTAGGGATCAGAATCAAGGCGAAGTTACCTGGAGAGTGATTTCAAAGTTTTTTGTGGACCAACCAATTTGTTGGGAGGCATTCTACAACATGCCACGAGACCTATGATTCATGATCGACTTTACAATGCCAATCTGCGGAGCTCAGTGTCTTACACTTGGAGCCTTGGACGAGGGAAAGACACCTTAGCTCGTCCAACGCGAACTAAGGAACCGATAATTTGGAAATACAGTTGGGAACAATTCAACAACCTTAGTAACAAACTAACGGATTGTCGTAACAAAAAGATCCCAGATCACTACACTCAGGTATACAATTACGTCTGAAATCGATCTAGAGATTTGAGCTTTGGACAGACTTGAGCATTGGAGTGTTTGTTCTTTGTTTGCAGGTTTTCCTATTTAGCTCGTTCTGCTTAGCTTGTTAGTTATCTCGTGCGAATCTCAGATCCTTCAGGATTCTAGAAACACAATTGATTCAGTTCCTCAATTCTAGTGAACAACATGAAAAGGAATGAAATTCATTATATTGAAGTAAATGGATCCTTACTTTTATAACAAAATGAATTTTAAATATTGTAGATGCGATGAGTTTAGATGGAAAAATATCTGCTGTGATATTCAAGGAAAAAAAAAGATTTGTTGTTCACAGGTCCCTCACCATTAAAGATCCTACATTAAAAAGAAAAGAGACCCTACGAATGTTTGTAATAGATATGGACTAACTCCCCTCATTGTCAATTAATTTTGAGATAAAAACTCCATGATATTGACACCCTCGGTTTGAGTCTTAGCGTGGGCAATAGCAATAAACCCATTATCAGAGCTGAAATTGCACGAAGCATAGGCATCACCCAACAAGAAATCAGCTTGAAAATGAACATAAACAATTAAATAGAGGAAAATACTTACAGTGAATAAATTATAATATAACGTTGTTCGCCACAACTGAGTTTTAAATGTTGATTATAGTTGATTCCTACATTTTTTTGGTTGCTTTTACTGTGGTTAACCAAATTAATAACCACCAGTTTGTTATTCTTTTATAATTGAGTGGCAACAGTTTTCAACGTGGTTTTTCTCCCTCGATTGAGTGGTATTGTACTCGGGTATCAATCTAGCAAATAAAGAACTCTCTCTGATTCCAAAGTGGATGTAGACCTAATGGTCGAACCACTATAATTCTTGTGTTCTTCTTGCTTCTTGGAAACTCTCTTTTACTTGCTCTGTTTTGTGTGTTGTTGCTTGTTCAATTGTCAACAAATTGGTATCAGAGTCCTTGAAGGAGAATTCTTTGTTCGTGGAATCCTGTTATTTTCTCATCTTGGTGAAGCCATGTCTGCAAGGTTTGAATTGGAGAGATTTGACGGCAAGAGTGATTTTGGTCTATGGAGAAAGAGGATGAAAGCGTTGCTTGTGCAATAGAAGGCTGCAAAAACCCTTCTCGATAAAATTAAGCTACCAGATATCATGACTGAAGAAGAAATTTTTGATATGAAAGAATTAGCTTACAGTATTATGATTTTATATCTTTCTGATAATGTGCTTAGAAGGGTTAATGACATTGATGACGTGGCTGAGCTTTGGACCAAATTAGAAACCATGTACATGTCAAGATCTCTTCCTAATAAGATTTATCTTGAGGAGATATTGTTTGGATTCAAAATAGACCCTTCTAAAGGACTTGAAGATAATATTGATGAATTCAATGCTATTTTTATGGAATTAGCAAATATGGGAGAGACTTAGTGGAGAAAATCAGCCTGTAATTCTCCTAAATTCCTTGCCTGAAAAATATAAAGAAGTTAAATCGGCTATTAAGTATGGGAGAGATTCCCTTACTTTGGATATTGTTTTAGACTCCCTTCAGTCTAAAGAATTAGAGATGAAGACGGAGAAAAAAGAATCTGAAGCTTTGTTTACGAAATCTAAACTCGGGAAGAATCAGTATCATAAAATTCAGAAGCATCAAAACAAATATGAAAAGAAAGGAAATGGTAAGGATAAGGACAAGTTAACATGTAACTACTGTCACAAGGAGGGACACTTGAAATATGACTGTCCAATTTTGAAACAAAAAGGGAAACTACCTATAAAAGGAGAAATAAGGCTTCAGCAAATCTTTTAGAGGGATATTAATCTGCTGCTGAAGTTCTAATGGTTGGAATATCAGATTGTTCAGAAGACTGGATTATGGATTCAGGATGCACTTTTCAAATGACTCCATACAAACATTATTTTTCTTATTTAAGAGAGTTTGATGGAGGAAGAGTGATTATGGGGAATGACAAGCTGATGTAGTCTTATTAGTATATTTCGGTTGGGTTGTTAGTTAAGCTTTAAAGTTGTTAGTTGTTAATTAGTTATAAGTCTAACGGCTAGTTTCCAGCCCCTTTCTTATAAATAGGAGTTATCCTATTCATTTGTAAGCATCTCTTTTGACATATAAATAAAATTCTCTCTTAAGGCTACAACAAGTTGGTATCAGAGCTCCAATAATCTTGGGCTTTACAACGGCGGGGAAGAAATCTACTCCAGCTGTAGGAGATCCTTCTCTCGCCGACAAAGAGATAGAAGAAATGTCCGTCCTCTCTCCACGAACCTCAACCAATCGACTGATGGTGGTTGAAGGAGCTTGTAACGCCCCGTGTTCTCTGACTCGTTTATTTTGAGAGATAAATAGTGTCTTTGGATTTTTTTTCCGTAAGCTAATAACTTTAATTCTTGGATTTTATAGTTTTTAAATTCTAATTTTTGGCTAAATTAGAATTACGTTTAATTTCATTGAATTAAGATGATTTAAGTTCTCGACTTGCGTAAGAGATTTTTAGTTAAATTTTAAATTCACGGTTTTTAGGATTCCTTTTTTCCTAAATTCTACTTTTTCTTTGCATTATTATTCTTGGGTTTTAGAGTTTTAATTAACTATTTTATTTCGGGTTGTTGTGGGTTTTATTTGATTTCTAAAGTATAATTATTGGGTTTATTGTTTTGGGCCATTGTGTTATTTAATTGGGCCTTTTTAGGAATAAAGGATTGAGCTTTTAAGTTTTAAAACAAGTTAAAGAAAAGGGAATTAAAACAAAATAACTCTAGCCCCATCTTGTTCTCCTTCCTCTTCTTCTTCCTCCCTTCCCTTTCTTGTTGCAGCCGCCAGCCCCCACCCTTCGTGATCTCGACACCCTCCAGCGGCG